CCTCTCTGTGAAGGCTTACAGAGGCTCCCAAGATGTTTTTCTCATGTGAAACAGGGAAACGCAGAGCCCAGGTTCTTCTGTCTGAACTCAGCCTGTGGGCGCTCAAACCATAAGCACAACCAAAAGCTTTGCTGCACCCAAAGACATTTGTTTTGTTTGTCTGTTCCCAACCATCCCATGTGGCAACACTGACCCTCAGTGGAATGAGATCTGTCACAGGACTGCTCTGGCCCAGGAGGCATCACCTCACTGCCCAGCAAATGACATCACCCTCAATGGAACAACGGTACTATCCCTGAAACACTGCATAACACCAAAAAACCCTAAATAAACCAAATCAGTGCTGTGCTACAAGCTTAGCTGATGCCAGGCAGCCTTCTTGTTCAGCTGGGCTTGAGAATTTTACACTAGGCTCAGAACTGAAGAACACAAAAGCTTTATTACTGCAAATAAACAGCAGTAATAACGGATGGAAAGCAACTCAAGAGAAATTATCTTACATTAAATGACTAAAAAAGAAGCAAATAGAAGAGTGAATCAATCTCATTTCTATGTGAACCTGCACACAGAGAGGTAAGGCCCCTCTGAGCAGGGAGCTCCGCACAGGGCAGGGGCAAGGCTCTGCTCTTCGCAGGGAGGTCAAACCCCAGGTCAGACAAGAGAAGTGAGGCTCTTACATCTGCCACTGACCTACTGCATCACGCTGCACAACTCGCTTCAGCTCCCTGACTCAGTTTCCCCATCTGTAAAGTAAGGATAATGATTCTTATCCTCCTCTATGAAGCATTTTTAAAATAGAATCACCTTCAGATTTCACCTGCAGCAGAGATCACTAGCACCTAAGGCAGGCAATTTGTCTTCAAATGGCATAATTAAGGAATTTAAATCAAAGAGAATGGAAGAATATTGAAGGAATCACTTTTTTTAAAAAAATCAAGGTATTCAAAAATAATAAAAAATAATCCTGTAACAATATTTATTATTGGCTGGTTAACCCCCCACATTTTATATTAAACAGTGTGTGCAAAAATCCACTTTTCTGCTAACAATACTATAGCTCCTACTGACTTGGAGAGGGCGGGGGACACAAGCAAAGATCCCTCTTTTCCCAAGCAGCAAAAGGTTTGAAACAAACATTTAAAACTGTACAGTGAAATACAGAGCAGGAAATCAGTTATAGGTGTTTAAATATGGCATTTAAATATCGACAGTTCTTTGCCTTCACAAAAAACATGCTAAAGTTTCAGCTCTATCTACTAACGTTGTGCAAATGGACACAAAATAAAGTGCTTAAAGAAAATCTAAATAGGGAAGCAGATTTGGTACTAAAGCTTGGGAAATGCTGATGAAATAAATTGGAGCAAACTACAGAGATGATGAATGACGAAGACTAGTTTACATTAATGTATATGACTGGGGTTTCACAGACGCTCACACAAGAGCCAATTATGCAGATGGTGCATCTGGAGAAGGTTCTGGGTGGATCCAGCTCAGCCCTGACAGTCTGTCAGTCCCTCATTACTTCTTCTTAATCACACAAGCAAGTCGGTACCCGCTCCGTAATACTCAGATGAGGAGCTGCCGGAGCCACATGAAAGGAGCCACGTTTGGAACCCCTGAACCGAAGACCACCTCCGCATGCCCCCCCCGGCTGCCCCTCAGGGCCGGACCCTCTGCTCGGCCGCTCAGATTCCCCGTACCGAGCCCCGGAGGCCTCCCCCACTGAACCACCGGGATGGGAAAGCCATCAGCCACCACACACCGACTGTGTCGTCCCCTCCATCCCCGGTGTAGCTGTAAACTCCTCTCCCGGGGCGTCCATGTGCCTCAGGCCCTTCCCAAGGGGAACCGGCTGCAGCTTCCAGCCCAGCGGGGCGCACATGGGGCCCAGCCCGCTCCCGGTCCCACGGGGGGGGGTAGCCTGGCACCCCAAGGCCGGGACCCCCGTCAAGGGCTGCCGCGATCCCATGGCACTTGCTAGAGGGCACAACATGGGAGCCGCAGCTCTGCGAGAAACGTGGAGAATGTGGCGCCTGACACATTCTCCATGGGGTGGGAAGGGGAGGGAAACTCCCGCCGAAACCTCTACGAGCGGGCTGGGGGGGAAAAACCGAGACCTCCCGCAGAAGCCATCCACAGCCGGAGCGGGGGTGCGCCAAGGGGACCTCCCTCCAGGACCCTCCGCAGCCGATATGGGGGAAAGGAGACACACACACACGGTCCCCAGAGCCGGGGAGACCGGGGAAAGAGACCCCCCTTCAGCCCCGCGGGCGGGGAACGAGACCTGCCCCCC